CCCCCTGCCCCCTCGCTCTGACCCACATACCTTCCAGCTGCGTCGAAAATGCTAGATTTGGTCTAGCCAGGGCCAGGCAGGCTAGGCTAGTTGCTGCTAGAGTCACCATGTGGATGACTCTGCTTAAACGTTTTAAAATAGGCTCTAAACAAAGTGCCCTCTGCAGGAGGAGGCGGGAGAATCACGTGCCTCATTTGCATACGTAATTTTTCGCGTTTTAACCCTTGGTTGACACTTAAAAGGCGAAAAATTCCTTATGCAAAGGAGGGCCATGTTCTCTAGCCTCCTCCTACTAACTGCATTAAGGAGACTCAGAGTCACTGTGACTTAGAGTCTGGGAGCAACTACCTTGGCCTTTTTAATTATTTTAAAAATAGTTTCCTTTCCCTCAGGAGACTGGTGAGGCCCCACCTCCCTTGCCTCTAGTGACTGCACGTCACTGGTTCTTATAGGACCTTTAGTAGGATGTAGCTGAAGTAAGGTAGAAACTAAATAAATGATTGGAAGATTCTGTTTTGACATCTGCAGTATTTCTTACATCACTATCTTTAAATATAAAAGTACTAATTGCATGCATTTTGTTTATTGTTTGTCCCATTTGTATAACATTGTTCTGAGCTGTTGATCCTATAAGTTGACTTTCATGGCAGCTGCTGAAAGACTAGCCTCTCTTTTGGAACAGGAAACAAATATAGAGGGCTATTTTACAGGATGTTTGTTAAAATCCAAGTTCATCCAATGAAACTGGATGGTTGAAGATTCAGATGAACTGGGGAAAAATGCTGCTCACAGAGTATATAGTTCCATTCAGAAACTTACTAGAAAGAGTAGTCTTGATGGTTACTACCAGACAGCTTTAAAAGGGAATTAAATAAAATCATGGTTGATAAGGCTATTAATGGCCAATGCCCTATATTGCCTCCAGTATCAGATATATGTCTGTCCAATACTTGTTGAACAGTAGTGGGGAAAAATGATACCTAGAAGTAGCTGTTATGATTTGATCACCCTAGAATCTGAATGCTGGATTAGATCGTGTTTAAGCCTGATTCACCATGCTGCCTTTTATGTTCCAATGTTACACATATAGTCCAGTTTATTGTCTTTTAAGTAGGATTTGATATTTCCACACTTGTCAAGACATAATTCTTCCCTACCCTAGCTACCACAATGTGTGCACAAATAATTGAACATTATATCAGGGGGAAGCAAATTATATCAACATTATAGTCAATGTTGGATCGTGACAAGCATGCCTGGCTGGCTGGTATCCTAAATAGGAACATGCTTGCTAAGATATTGCATGGCCAATATTTTGAACTAGGTACAGTTGTTTGTCATGAGCGTCCACATATAGATACCTTCCCCAGATATGTCAGTTACCACTATTTATGTCTGATAAGGTTCTTTGTCTCCCTAAATTCCATCTCCAATAAAAGATCTATACAAAGTTGTCCATTTTAACCATAATCCATGGAAGAGGTATTTTCCTTCGTTGATTGCTTTTTACTGGCTTAATACAGAACAACTCACTGCTTTGAAACTATTGCATAATTTCAGTCTCACATGTATGGGAACTCACAGTTTGAGAGTGACTGACAGATAATCAAGCTATGAGGCAACAATTTGTAAATGCAGATCTGGTATGTTCAGATAAACTTTGGGAATTCATATTCAGTTTCAGTTAATCAGAAGGATATGAAAGAAAAAGCTATGGATTATCTATTTATCTATCTATCTATCTATCTGTGATCTATTTATCTATCTATCTATCTATCTATCTATCTATCTATCTATCTATCTATCTATCTATCTATCTATCTATCTACCATCTATCTATCTTCTATCTATCTCATTAAAGGTAAATGCTTATGCAATGATCTTCAAAAACATGATTTTTACCTTAATTAAGGAGGAGACATACTGAGCTATAGCAGCTTAAAATTCACAGTTTAAGTAAAATCCCAGGAAACTGAATATGTTAACCATTTCAAACTACTAATTTTCATTAGTTTACATATACTTAAGCCCTGCAATTATCTTCTTATAATTTTATATATATATATATATATATATATATATATATATATA